TTTTTTTTTTTTTTTTTTTTTTTTTTTTTTTTTTTTTTTTGATTTTTTCTTCTTTTCACTTATTGAAGTCATATGAAAGAGAGAGCATACAGAAGTGGTTTGATTCCAATCACAAGACATGTCCAAAGAGCAGGCAAACTTTGTCCCACCTATTGCTTGCGCCAAATTATGCACTAAAAAACCTAATCTTGCAGTGGTCTGAGAAGAATAATTTTCAGCTCCCTACAAAGGACCTCCCACCAGGCCATGAAAGCTACTCCTCAACAAGTCAAAAAGAGGAAATCTCATCCTTGGTTGAGCAGCTATCATCCAGTCACTTGGACTCACAGCGAAAGGCGATCAAGAAGGTTCGGATGCTCTCGAAAGAGAACCCCGAGAACCGAATTCTCATAGCAAAGAGTGGAGGAATCCCACCATTGGTGCAACTCTTATCCTATCCGGATTCAAAGATTCAAGAACACGCCGTCACGGCTTTACTGAACTTGTCCATCGATGAAGCCAATAAGAAGATCATAGCTAGAGAAGGAGCCATTCCTGCCATAATACAAGTCTTGGAGAAGGGAAATATTGAGGCTAGAGAGAACTCTGCAGCAGCCTTGTTTAGCTTGTCAATAATTGATGAGAACAAAATGATTGTGGGGCTATCAAATGGAATACCACCATTGGTGGATTTGCTTCAAAACGGGACAATTCGGGGCAAGAAAGATGCAGCCACTGCACTCTTTAACTTATCCCTAAACCAAGCCAACAGGACCAGGGCCATTTCTGCTGGCATTGTGGCACCTTTGCTTCAGTTGCTTAAACACAAGAATTTGGGAATGGTTGATGAGGCTCTCTCCATCCTCTTACTCATTGCGGCGCACCCCGACGGGCGGCAAGAGATTGGGCAGCTCTCGTTCATCGAAACTCTCGTCGACTTTATCCGAGAAGGGGCCCCAAAGAACAAGGAGTGCGCAGCTTCGGTGCTGCTTGAGTTGGGATCAAACAACTCATCCTTCATGTTGGCCGCTCTTCAGTTCGGAGTGTACAAGCATTTGGTTGATATCACAAGGAGTGGGACCAATAGAGGGCAAAGAAAAGCAAATGCTATTCTTAAACTCATGAACCAGAGTGAGCAGATTCCATAATGCTTGTAATTTTTAAAGCAGGTTTCAGCTTCTTGATTTTTTAACTAGCATCTTGTCTGAAAGATTGTTCTTGCAAATATTACTTCCACACAGTCAGTCAATCAAAGATTGTTCTTGCAAATATTACTTCCACACAGTGAGTCTATTCACACCTCCTTTTTAACTCTTCAAATCTCCCTTCTTACTACATACTCCATATAATTTTCAAATGATCAAGTTTTTTTTTCCTACACATCTCTATAATTATTCCAAATTACCCCTAACTATTTTCATAAAATTATTAAAGATAGTCCATACCCACCTCTTTACTCTTCACATCCCCTTTTAACTACATTCCTACATAAATTAATTTATTACTTTAGTATTATCTTTTATTTATATCTTTTTAATTTCTTGTTGAAACTTTAGCCCTGGAGCGGTAAAAATGTGTCCAAATAGCATAAGCAAACGGAAAAAAAATGCAAAATAAACGATTCACCAAAAAAACAAAAAAATAACTATAAATTAAAAAGTAAATGAAAAGAAAAAAAAAACCATAAATTGAGTTGCATTATATTTATTAAATATTGATGTGAGTAGAAAATACTACCTCATGAGCACAAGCAGCATTAAAAAAATAAAGGAAAAAACCCTGCAATTTGACATTATAAAAAAACGAAACAAAGGTGGAAGATTTACTTAAGAAATTGATTAGCAAACGAATATGAACATAAAACGAAAACCAAAAAGAAAAAAAGAAAAAAAATCTTCATACAACAAGTAGTAATGAAAATTGAACATATTTCTATCTAATTTTTTAAAATAGTCATTAAAACGTGAAAATTATATGGTTCTTCTTTATTTTTTTGAAATAGAAATAGTTTATAATTTGAGAATATGAAATGTGGAGTGTGTGGAGAGAAAAAAGACTATCAGTTTTTCCTTTTGTAATAAAATTTTAATTATATAACTAAGTCTATTGTCCTTTTTGTCATTCTATTTAAGGATCTTTTCATAATAAAAAAATTTTAATTTTAAAAAGAGGAGAGTAAAAAAAAAAAAAAAAAGAGTGTGACTAGAACCACTCTTAGCTTTTAACATACTCTCATAAGGTAATTTCTTCTTATAATGAAAACACCAAAAATCCAGTACTATTTGCTATATAAGGGTTATTTGGAGAAACTGCCATTCAAGGACGCAAAATACTGTCATATTTCTGAAATTTTGGGGTTTAAAAGGTTCTTAAAGATCTTTCTATTGTAAAATCTTTTCCATGATCATAATATCATAACAATATTGATAAAAATTAGTTTAAATATCGATATTTGTAAAATCGTTTCGGGAAAATTTAGCAAAAATTTTAGATATTTTGGCCGTTTATTTATTTATTTTTCTCCTTACAATCACTACAACAATAAAGGCCATTTGCGACGACATTTGTCATCACAAATAATCCCATATTTGCGACGACATGTCGTCACAATTACTTCCCGTTAAATAAAATAACCATGTCGTCGCTAATAACTTAAATGTTGTCGCAAATAATTTTAGAGCGCAAATTTCAATGGCGCGGATTTTTGGTGCGAAGGTAATCCATTTTTTGCGACGATAAGTCGTCGCAAATATCTTACTATTTGCGATGACATTTGTCGTCGCAAATAGTTTTAGGTTATTTGCGATGACATTGTCTCTTTGTCGTCGTAAATAATCTTTTTAAGATTTCACGAAAAAGTAGACGCGGGAAAAATGATTTTTTACGACGACTTAAAAATTATTTGCGACGAGATAACGTCGTCACAAATAATTGACATCTGTTTATTATTTGCGATGACATTTTAAATTTATTTACGACGACAATGTTGTCGCAAATAAATCTGACATAATATACCCTATCTTCTTCTTCTTCATTTTCCCCCGACGCGCTCTCTCTCTCTCTCCTGCAAAATCTCTCTCTCTGCCTCCTCTTCCCGTCGCCGCCACCGCCGGCCCTCCCCTTCTCTCTCTCCCCTTGTCTCTCTTCCCTTCTTTCTCTCTCTCTTCCCTTCTCTCTCTCTCTCTTCTTCCCCTTGCCGCTGCCCCCACCGCCCGCCCT